CAATTTCAAACAAGGCTTTAGGGGGCGGGTCTTGAGCCCTTTTATTAGGCACCTCCACTCTCTTCCCCTCAGAAGGCAGGAAACGTCTTTGTGGAAGATGGGTGTCTACCGCATCCGCGTGTCCACGGGGTCCTCGCTCTTCGCGGGCTCCAACAACCAGGTGCAGCTGTGGCTGGTGGGCCAGCACGGGGAAGCCGAGCTCCGGGAGCGCCTGCGGCCCATGCGGGGCAAGGTGAGCTGCGGGAGCTGCCCCCCAGCCCGGAGGCCCTCACATTCCTGGGAAGAGACCAGTTGGGCAGAGCGTGGCGCACAGCAGGAGCTCAATAAATGTTCGGGCCATCTGACTTCCGTGGGATGGAGAGGATGCTCCTGCCCGCCCTCCTTCACAGAGCTCTCTTTATGCAGAGATCATGAAGGGGCTGTGTGTCTCTGGTTTCCTCGATTTTATTTTGAGAGGAGGGGAGGAGGGAGGGAGGGAGGAAAAGAGAGAGTAAGGGAGGGGGGGAGAGATTGATTTTGTTCCACTTACTTATGCGTGATTGAGTCTTGTATGTGTCCTGACCGGGGATGAGCCGGGAACTTTGGGGTGTCAGGACACGCTCTAACAAGGGAGCTACCTGGCCCGGGAAGTTTCCTCCATTCAGAAACCCTATTTCAAACCTCTCCCACGAGGCGGGGCATGGGAGGTGGGGGTGGGGGGAGGAGAGAAACTAAGAGCTGAATTTCCTGGCCCATTCCCCTCTCTCATCACATCTACCTGGTTCTCCCCGGGCTCCTGTTACTTTTTCTTCCCCATTTCCCATCCCCACATTTCTGTCGCCCACCCAGCTCTTTCCAGAACCCTCCAGATCCCGATGTCTGTCCTTCTGACGCCTCAAAGGAACCTGACCAGAGGAGATCCTCCCTTTCCCACCCCCACATCTCTCCACTTGCCTCCCCCCACCCCAATCCCCCAGGGGTCCCATGAGCTTCCAGCTCTGTTTGCCTCCAACCAAGAATCCAGCACTGTCAAATCTGCCTCCTGGACATTCCGGCTTCCAGGTCCGATTCCCGCCCCGCCCCCGACCACCAGTGTCCGCGTGAACCTACGTGGCCACCTTCAGCCTCTTCCCTGCCCAGCCGCTTCCTCTCCTGCCCTTCCAAGCCCTCCTGCAGCCAGATCCACATCTTCCAAATACACCCCAACCCCTAACAAGCCCCTCCCCGCAAACATTTGAATGGCTTTTGCGGTTCTCAGGACCGAATTCTTGGATTACCCTTCAAGACTGTTCACCGTCTAGTCATGCTCATCTCCCACACACTCTGTGCTGGGCACAGCCTCCTCGCTCTCGCTTCCTCTCCCTGGCATCATTTCCCCAACCTCCCCTCTCTCTCACTTTCCCTGGTTAAACCCTTCACACCTAGAGGTCTCCGTGCACACCAAGCTGAGGGGGCGCCTGGGTCTCTAGGCTGCAAGTGCCTGGTCCACAGTGTATCTCCCCATGCAATGGTGCAATGGTGCGCTGGCCCGCGGCGGTGCCCAGCGCCCAGCTCAGTGCCCAGCACCCAGCTCAGCGCTGCGTTGGATCAGTGACTAAGAGGAGGAAAGAGGGCAGGAAGGAGTGCATCTTCCCTCCTCCGCCTCATCTGGGCTGTAGAGCTCCACAGCCCATTATGGGGACTTGGGAACACCTGGTTGGCGCCCCCCTTTCTCTTTTTGGCTCCTTTGGCGCTGCTTCCCAGAGGCCCAGCAGAAGGGCCTGGGCAGGGATTTGGGCTCAGTTCAGTCCCCCCTCCAGGCGATCGCCATGGATGCTGAGCTGCTTGTGTTGCCTGCAGGAGATGGAGTTCCAGGCGGACGTGAAGGAATACCTGGGGCCGCTGCTGTTCGTGAAAGTGCGCAAAAAGCACCTCCTACAGGATGACGCCTGGTTCTGCAACTGGATCTCCGTGCAGGGCCCTGGGGCCGGTGGGGACGAGTTCAGGTTCCCCTGTTACCGCTGGGTGGAGGGCAATGGCGTCCTGAGCCTCCCCGAGGGCACAGGTGAGCGCAGGGTGGGGTGTTCGGAGGCTTCTGGGGCCCAAGAGAGGCTGGGGGTGGGGGAGAGAAGAGGGGACAGGGTGTGAGGGCAGGAAACAGAGGGCTGGTCTTCTTTCCTTTCCAAAGAGGTGGATTGCTGGAGTTGGTGCACAGGCTGGGGAGGGGCCTGATGCTGAAGGGTGACCCCTCCCCCGCAAGGGTGTGCTGAGAGGCACCCCTGGCAGGGATGGGGAGGGGAGGGGGATGTGGGGGAGGGGGATATGAGGGGGGGGAGGTTCTCAGGAGAAGCCTTTTAGTCCATGCCCTTGTCCGCGGCCTTTCCTCTTCTAGGCCGGACATTGGTAGAGGACCCTCAAGGCCAGTTCAAGAAACACAGGGAGGAGGAGCTGGAAGAGAGAAGGAAGCTGTACCGGTTAGCCTTACCCCACCCTGTCCCCTCCTGACCAGGCA